GGGAGGGGGGGGGGCTGGGGGCGATCTCCGGGGACGCGGGATGCCACGGGGTCCCGGCCCAGGGCCCCGACACTCGCCTTGCCGGGATCCCCGGTCACCCCTGGGAAGCGCCTGAGACCGCCCAGCTCCCCCCGATCCTGCTTGCTCGCCCGGGTGAGGGCGGGAAGATGCCCCAACCCCCTTCCCCCCGCGCACCCCGAGCTTGTGCTGGGGAGGCTGCGAGCAGCAAAATAAGAAAGTACCCCCCCCCCCATCTCCCCCTGTGCGAAATAATTTCCCAGGCAGTGGGGTCTGCGCTCTGCTGAGCTCCCCCAGCTCGCACCGAGACCTGCTGCTTCGTCTATTTTTTTCTTTTCTTTTTTTTTTTTTTATAATGTGAAAATAAAGTTTTGCAGATGGGCAGAAGCGGACGAAGCAACACCGCCATCGCGGCGGGGACACAGAAGTCGGTCAGAGCTGCTCCTCCCCGGGGCCGGTGCCGTCCTAAAGGTTCAAGTCCCCCTCAGGATTTCGGAACAAAGGCAGCCCAGCCCAACTACGCCACGCACAAATCTTCATTGTAATCCTGGGCTTTTCCTCTTTTTTTTTTTTTTTTTTTTCCCCTTCCCCTTTGCCCTGTTTTCCAGACTGCAGATCCTGAAGGTCGTGGCTCTGCATCCCCTATAAATAGATTTTGATATTTAGACAGCTATTGCTACTCAATATTAACTTACAGGATAATGGCGAGAGATACCGTATGCGCTGAACCTGTTATTCACGAGTGAGCAGCGTCTGTCGAATACAATTCTCGTCTCTTCGCCCTGTTCGGCTATAGCGCACATCAATAGGGCGAAGGACGTCGTGGGGCTGGGCTGGGGACGGTGAGCAGGGCGGCTCTGCGGGGACACAGTTGCAAGCAGAGTGTGGGAACTATAGGGGGACTTTAGAGAGCTGAAGTCAAGAGCCAGGTAGGCACAGAGCGGCTCTGAGGGAGCGGAGGAGCAATTCAAGAGCGGCTGGCGCAGAGCTTCCAGCGCCGGCTTCATTCGGGGGCTCCTGACACTTCACTTTAAAACACGGTGAATGCTGCTGGGGTGGCAGGGTCTCCCCTCCGCACGTTTCACAGCCCGAGTTCCTCTATTTCTGACTTTAGCAATCGTGGGTTCCAGGTAGATCCGGAGCAGAGATTCGGAGCTCACTGCTAACCCTCTTGCTGTTTGCAGGGAATTCAAGGGAGGGCAAGGTCTCAAACTGTGGGCAAGGTTTTTAAGGGAGTACTAAGAATTCTTGTTTCCGTTTCACGGAGCATCCCCTCTTCCCTCTGACCCCAAATCCTCCACCTGCAAGGCAGAAAG